GACGAGTGAGCAGCCTGCGTTTGCTGTCGAAGCCTATTTTTCAAACCACCATTCCTACGTGGCGGTGCAGCGTGCGTTCCGTGCTCACTTTGGAATTAAGCCCAGAGGTCCGGTTCCCAACCAGAAATCGTATGTTTTGTGGGTAGAGAACTTTAAGACGACCAGGTGTGGGGTGAAAAATCATCAGAATGACAACAGACTGTTACGACACCAGAAAATGTGGAGGCAGTTCGACAGTTGATTTTGAGATCTCCAAGACGCTCCGCTCACAAACATGCAGTCGCCCTATACATATCCAATCATTCAATGCTCCGAATTCTTCATGAAAATCTTTATTTCCATCCCTATAAAATGGTTTTGTGCAAGAATTGTCACCACGTGATTTCCAGAACCAAATAACAGCGTGCAAAACGTTATTGGAAACTTTACCCCCTGACGCACTTGTTTTCTTTAGTGATGAGGCACATTTTCACCTATCCGGATATGTCAACAAGCAGAATATGCGCTATTGGAGCGGTAACAATCCCAGAGAGCTCCATGAGAGGCCACTTCACAGTGATAAGGTGACAGTATGGTGTGCATTGTCGAGAGTTGGAGTTATTGGTCCTTATTTTTTTGAAGAAGACAATCATGCAGTTACTGTCAATTTACAGCGGTATGTGGACACGATTAAAAACTTTTTCGAACCAGCTCTGGAAGAAATGCATCTAGAAAATGTCTGGTTCCAACAGGATGGTGCCACGGCCCACACAGCCCGAGCTTCGATGACAGTTTTGAGGGCAAAGTTCCCCGGACGGCTCATCTCGCTTCGAGGTGACATCCCATGGGCAATGCACTCACCTGATCTAATGCCCTGTGATTTCTTTTATGGGGATACCTCAAGGCAGAGGTTTTTAAACATCGCCCCACAAACCTGCATCAGCTGAAGAATGTTATTTGGCAGGAAGTAGCCCAAATTCCTGTGCACATGTTGGAACGTGCAGAGGGGAACTTCAGAAAACGGTTGCATCAGGGCATAGAGAACGGTGGCCACCACCTTCAAGATATTTTGTTTAAATCTACATGATTTAAAACTTTAAAGTATGTTCTTTCATTAGCTAAACGTAAATTTTGTCTAACAGCAATAATTTTTCTTTTATTATCCTTCAAAAAAGGGAAGTTTCTGCGCCCCACCCTGTATTTTCCAAAAGCACTGCCATGCACACTCAAAACTGTTCTATTTTCTAGCTAATTGACTAGCAGAAGTAACAGAGGTTTCAAAAGATAAATGAAATGATCAAATGAATCTGAATGCAAGGCCATGCTGACTCATATATATAATCAGCATGCATTCCCATTTCAGTTCTAATATTGTAATTTTTATCCCAAGTTATATAGACCAGGCATAGTTTGCAGCTACGAGGTACAGTTCATCTTATGCAGACAACATTATATTCATGTGCCATGTAATCTGTGGTACAGAGTCTGCCTACAAGCTGATTAATTTGATGCATTCTTCAGTTGCATATATAAATTTTTCCAGTGAAAATCACTTCACCTACAACATTTTTTATGTGCCACAACAGCAAGACCAGTAAAGTGCAAGGTAGGTACTTGTTTTCGACGTCCATTTGTGGTGCACACCCCAAATGCAGCACAGCAGCTAGGCCAGAAACACAGTGCTAACTGCTCTCCATAATGTTTACATTTACTGAATAAACTACTGAATGAACTATTTATGCAGGAGAAGAAATCATTCTATCATAATTATGTAGAGCTCATCTCATAAGATGAAAAATATTTTAATGAAAGTGTCAACACTTCCATTTAGTGAAAATCTCAATTTAATGTACAAAAAGCAATTGCGTAGATATTCATTAAATTGGAATTTAATAGTATTGTAATGTGGATGGACACAGTGTTACTAGGTAGCTGACTGTGAAACACCTTGCAACCGAATACACGCAAGGCAACAATCGGAGAGCGGTGTTTTCTACAGAGTCCATGCCGCGACCGTTGCTATGCAATCGGTCAGTAAACACGTTCCAACAATATAGGCTGTATTCTGCATGGTCAGTGCAGAGGCTATACAACAATTACAGATAGAACAGATGTCAGTATGTGGAGAGAATTTGTCAGTATTTGGGAGTATTTGAGAGTGTTTGTAGTATCATATTATAAGTGCAAAATATACACTTGACGAAAGGTCGAATGTATTCATAAGAGACAGACCCATCTTCTCGTAGAGAGGATGTTACATAAGGACTATTACCGCAAGAGTTCAGTTGGAAAAAAAAATCTCTGGTCATGGGCCTCAAGGGGCCTGATGCCAAGACGAACTGATTGGCGGTAAACTGCCAGTCGTAAGGTAACTCTGACTCTGACTCTGAGAGTGTTTGAGCGTTTAAGTAACAGGGAAAGAGTTCTCAGTGGAAGATAGCCATGGAAAGTTTGTTGTGAGAAGATTATGTAAATCAGGGATAGCACTGTATTAGAGTGTGTAACCAAGCTGTTAATAATCAAATCATCCGAACTAGAACCCATCATTTTGTCATGCATACCCCCCTACACATGACAGAATTTTGAAAATAATTCACATTCAGTGCTGGGAGCACATTAAGAACACAATTCCTCATGGGCAACAATAAACTTTATGAAATAATATCACATAAAACCTTCTAGAAGAACATATGTGACTGACACTCAAAGTGTCCAAAAAAGTAATTAACACACTGTAATATACATAAATATCATGTGCTCTCCTCAGTTTCCAGGCACTTACACAAATATTACATATATGAACAAAATAAAATTAATATTTTCACTGATCTTTGGCTGCAGTAAACTAGGCCTGTGGGGAATATGATTAAAGGTATTTAATGCCTTTAAAAGCTGTCTGAAGTGAGTCTCTTGTTACCCTGACATGGTATGTTCTTAAGTATAGATGGTGATGACCTCTGGATAAAGAGGATAGCTGCCAAAATGCGCTGTGACATGGCACCTGAAAATCGGAATGGTGAAGTCAGAAAAGACGGCCTTTGCTAATAATGGCTTGTGAAACATGTTTCCACAGCAATGAATTATCATGGCAATAGATTTGGGAAAAGGCATAACCATGGTAACGACTTCTTAAAAGGCAAAAAGACAGTACTGAAACCCTTTCAGGCAGTGATCTTTATTCAGTTCTCCTGAAGCTATGAAGGGAGCTCAGACCAGACCAGAAAGAAAAGAAGACTAGAGGCTAGATACCAGTGCAAGATCCAGACAACAGTGAGAGATTTCTTATCCAGAAGGAGATAAATGTGTGAACTGTTGTAATCAGACATAACTGTAATAGAGACATCCAATAAATCCAATCATCAAATCTAGAACCCACAATTATCAGTCACGTGTACCCCCCACCATGTGACAATATTGAGTAAGCAGTTTCAGACAGGTGATAATGAGTGTTCCTCCAGCTTGAAAGAAGACTGGACAATATGTTAAGATGGACTTTAGATACATCTTTGAAGGTTTTCATAGCAGTGACTATGAAGTTTACTGACTTCTGGGACATGACCCCCACATAGTGGTTGATGGATTCCTCCAATATCTACGAGTATTAAACTGTATGTTGTCACATTTCAGAAGACAATCTTCCTAGGAAGACTGAATGTGAGTGAGGAGGTGGTGTGAAATTATGCATAATGGTAGGCTTCACTATAAGTGGTGCTGAACATTCAGGTACTACTATCACAGCATTAGTTATTTAGTCAGGTACCTTTAACACCACCACCATTTATGCAAATGAAAAGATAGTGTGGATCAGAAACAGTCGACAGGCAAATAATCTCTTTCATTTCAGTTGGTATATCATTGGTCAATTTTGGGGATTTTTGGTAAAATGTTAATACTTTGATGCCTAAGTAATACCGGCTAAATAAAATCATTATTGTACAGTGTGTCCGCAAAGTCCCATCAGGGTTTTGAAAAATTGTGGGGTGCAAACAAACTGAGCTAGCCACATGCAGTTTGCAGCAGATCATAGTGAAACTAGTTAATGTACTTGATGACCTGAAGACCTGTATCAGGAATGCGATCTCGGTTATTCCAGCGGACATGCTTCACAGAACGTGCAAGAGCTTGAATATCGTCTGGACATTCTCCGTGCTACAAAGCGAGCCCACATCGAGGTCTACTGAAGTCACTAAAAACTTCCAGAGTTTCATTATGATCTGCCGCAAACCGCATGTGGTGAGCTCAATTTGTCTGTGCACCACAATTTTTAAAACCCCAACGGGACTTTGTGGACACACTGTAGATCATACCTGCAGTCTCCCCCACATATTCAATTAATTTTGGATCTACAGTACTCTCAGAATGACTCCAAATAATTCTAAATTTAGACATACAATATCTTACCAAAATTTCCTGCTGTTATATGTCAGTAACCTTTGTTTTGTCATCGGTATGAAGGGCACTTTAGAACCGCTTTTAGAATCAACTAGCTGCAAAAGCTATTTTTATATCTTACTTCATTCATATTTATATATATTTCACTTTAATCATCCTTAGAACTGTCACCAAATTCTTCACTATTACTGTCACCCAAACAGTAAGCCTGTAACTCATAAAATATGAACTACATTTATGTTCAAGGAGTTGACAAACATGCCTTTTCTGTTCTAATTCATAATGTAACGTGAGAAGAAGTTATCAGCTTATGGACAACGATGTTCAAATATAAAAATAAAAAACAGTGTCAAGAATATTACATTTAAATAATATTTTTGAGCCCAGATCATACATTCAGACAATTGTGAACATCAAGAAATACTCAGAAGTTGTCATGAAAGCACCTCTGCTCAAAACATCAGAATTATCATGACTAGTACACAATATGTTGAGACAAGCTTATGAGATTTGTTAACATGATAGGAATGCCATCCTTCACTGGTGGTGTCACACAGTGCAATCTACTTGTAGGAAACAGAAGGATCACGGACACATCAGTGTCTCAGTTTAATAGAATATACATTAGATGCAGTCAGACCAAGCAAGAGTTGAGCACAAATACATTTTCAAACACCAGGTTCAGGGTCAACAATATCAATCTCTAAGCATTTCTAATTTGTCTTTCATTTAATGTCCATTTCTTTGTTGTACAGAAAATACCGGTGATAGTGAACACACGTGTCTTGACCTGGAATAAAAGAAAGCATTGATAGTACTGGTCCAGCAGATTACAGCAAAGAATCTAGAACAATATGGATTTACTATTATTTATAACATTTAATGAACTATTGGGGCTATCACCATGAAATATATCATGGTGACAGAAACCACTTCCTTCCACACCCTATAAAATTCACTATTTATAAATTATCCTAACATTCGACATCCATAATCTAAATATCTGATAAAGAAATTATTATGTAAGATTTGAGGTTTTCACGGTGGTGGCTATGAAGAAAGCCGTCTTTTTGGATGTGGCGCTGTATAGAAGTTGTGTTAACCGACGTTTTGGAGGAACATATCGCCTCCATCTTCAGGGTAGAAGACAAGAAGAAATCCGCAAGCGAACCAGCAGAGCAGGTGCAACAGACTGAGTCCAGTCGAGTAAACATAGCTGTGTAAGAGAAGGAAAGAAGGAGTGTGGCCACATAGTGAAATAGTAGAGAGGGGGAGGGAGAGGGAAAGGGTCTGGTGGAATAACCAGCAGGTAGTGGGGCCAGAGCAGGTATAGAGTATGTGTTAGGGGGAGAGAAGGGAAGGTTAAATGGAGGGAATTAACCTTGTACATTCCTCTGAAACGTCGGTTAACACAATTTCTACAAGGTGCCACATCCCAGAAGATGGCTTTCTTCAAATTATTATGTGTTAATAAATTTCTATAATTAACATCCTACCAATCTGGTATCATAAAAATGAAAGATACATAACTACAGAACTTCGTTTGTACAATATATACTTATTCACATGTTAAATACTGTGAGAAGTCTAAATTTTGTTTTGATTCTTAGCAACAGCTGGTAAATATCACTCCCATTCACCATATGTGTCTCCTTATCAGAATTATCAAAACAGAAGGTTCCTAACCCAAGTATTACACGATTAAAAGTGATTTTGATAAAAGATGGTTCCACTCCCTCTACTTATGTTGATGGAGACTGAAATGGACAACTTACCTTCATCCTCCACTCTTACTTACACACAGCCATCAGATCAATATTACAACTTTAGGTTGAGAGATTTTCTTCACTTGAAGTACTATCCCTACGTAAAGACGCTCGTTTCTCTATACGAATGCACTTTGGGCATTGATGATTCTTCTTAGTCCAACAATTTCGATGAAATACTGTAAAGCACTGTTGACAAATGGCTGCCACTGAGTCAAAAGGGAAAATCACTTCATCACCATCACACAGTTCACACACAAAGCCTCTCCCATAACACAACTGTAACAGACAGAAATATACAACTACAAGTTTGCAACTGTGTATTACGTGAATGTACTAAGCAAAATACAGTCTGATCTTACACACAGTAATAAGGTTAGGGTTGAAAAATATAAGGAAATACACTGAATATCATAGTTAAGTGCTTAGCACCCCGGCTTCATATATGGGAGATCCCAGATTCATATTTAGGCATTAACCCGTTGCCGTGGTTCGTCGTGTATGTTTCATCAGGGATTTAAATCGTCTGGGGGGGTTCGACGTGTATGTTTCGTCCAGCTGCACACGTATGTTATAACGCCCATAATAATTGATGGTTTTGCTGTAGATTGTTAGATTTTTCACTGGCCTGTTGTCAGGAGGACTGTATTTAATGACACACGCGTTTAAGAGCGCTAAGTCGTCGTTACATATGCCTGTCTTGCAGCAACGTTCCTGTGGCTATTGCGAGCTGTTTCTGTTATGAATGATGTGTTTTGTTTGCTCTGAAGCTATAAACACCAGAGACTGATATGTGCTGGTGTTTATAATATCATATTGCCCTGAGCTGGCTATTCAATTGGAATTCTTAGAAGAGGGATNGAATTTAAATGACCACGTCAAAGGGTTAATACTGGCTACCCTGACTGATTTTCATTTGGTTACTACATATAAATGCTGGGATAGTATTTTAAACTACATGATAGCTGCTTCCTGCCATATCTGTTTCAATTCATTATTCACCAATGACCTTATCATTCATTGCTGTAATCTGAGCTAATTATTAAATCATTAAAAGTTTGTGACGATGGTAAATTGCTACAAGTAATATGTTTTTGGACATTATCCATCGTCTCGTCTATTTTTAAAAAACTGCCGTTTCTTTTTAAAACACAATGTTTCGGAGACTGGATTCTGTCCCTGTTCTCAGGTAAAACCTACTCAGTTGGGTCCAATAGACAGAGCTAGCACCTATCTCCGGAGATAGGGGACAGAATCCAGTCTCCAAAGAATTTGTGTTTTAAAAAGAAACAGGACGGTTTTTTTAAAAATAGACAATACGATGGATAATGTTCAAAAACATATTACTTGTATCATTAAATTAGATATAAACTAATACTATATTTTTTAAAATACCTCATGAGCAGAAATTGGAGTGCACAGTCTATTCATAACGAAGGTTTGAACATAATTCATTCCCAACATCCCTTCCTTTAATCTACACAGAAGCAAATGAAGTATACGGTGCATGTTAATCTGTGAGGTACTGTGCATATGTTCTGCTAAATATGAGTACTAGAGGCATGCATTTACAGTCTCTATCACTCAGTGAAAAACTGGAAAAAATTTTTAAAGGCAAAAAAGAAAAAGTAAAGTAAAACTATCGCTGTAACAGGCCATGAAGGCCCATAGGGTTGAGACATTGAGGGTCCCACATTATCTAGACAATCAGCTCAAAGATGGTGGTAAGGTTGTCAGCCTTATGCACCAGCTGCACTTTACCCCCCTCCCCCCCCCCAGGAAAATTATTTAATTCATTCCTGGTACTCATTTCTGTTAGAGGCTGAGTTGACCCCAGGGCCATAGTGTGGCTGGAAGGATTAGATCAATTGAAAAAATCCAATGACCTCATTGGAACTTGAACCCGTGACCTTCCGGCTTGTAGCATAGTGCCTCAACCAACTACGCTACTGCGTGCCCCTTTAAAAGCAGAACAGAAAACATAAGAAAATCAAACTCTTTATATAAAATATGGTAGTGACCATGTAAACTCAGCTGACAACAACAGAAGCAGCAAAAAAGAAAAACTGTAAGTACATTCATATCTTGATCTCACAGAGTCATGTTTTATTTGAAACAGCATTTGAACAGTAACTCAGTAACATAAAGATTTTAATGATAGTAATTTTTATGTTGCAGAATGAGAGATCCTGAAAGTATGGGGGCTATAGTGGAAGCATAGAGAGAAAAACATCATGTTTGAATTTCAAGATTCTGTGCGTGTATGAGTGACTACATATGGGGTTTGGATTGGAGACTGGATTTACTGACCACTTTAACAAATGACTTTCGGCTACACTTAATTATAGCATCATCACTGATCTCCACACTTTACAAATCATTACAGCACATGCTGAGTCTTTTCAGTCCACTGTGTCTTCACCAGTCATTCCCTGGCATCAGGTTCTAACAGCGAAGATTCTTCAGCTTCCGCATTCACTTCATTACCTGCTGGCTCCCAACTGTAACGCAGATTCCCTTACAACTGACTAACTTCTAAATCTGTCTTGGTTATAATATCTCAGCACAGACCATGTAAAAAACACCATTTCCAACAGTTCCTCTATTGTTGTGCATAAATTCGTTGCCATGCAAACCTGTCTTTTCATGGTTGCTACCTAGTAACAAGTCTACAGCCTACATTGCTCCCTCCTTAAGGCTATTTGTCTACAGGCATACCATCATTTCTTCTTTTGTGATGGCTGTGCTTGTAATGTCCGTGATTGGTCTCACCTTCCTTCGCCATGGTTTGTTTCTCACAGAGATTATTCTCTAACCACTCCCACTGGTCCCTCCTTAAGACTGCTTGTCCCAAGTGCTTCCCTCATAAGGTGTCAGTCAGGTTTACTACCTTCATCCTTCTTTCAGTCAGTGCAGGCAAAAGTCCAGTCTTTCTGACAGTCTTGTCGAAGGCCCTCTTCTTGCTGGAAGTAACTGCCTCTTTAAATCTCGGTCCCTTATTCCACTGCTGCCTTCCTGGCGCATCCAGTGCTTCCTGTTAAACATCCATCCTTTAGGGGCTTCTCTTGCAACACTGTCCCTGCCTCGTCCCTTGCACAGTGCAGGAATGGCATCGCTGGTCAACCAACTGTGGGCAGCAGCTAACTTCTTCCAGAACCCACCATCATACTGGGTCCATTTCTTCAGCTGTCAGTGACACACTATGGCTAGATGCCATCCTCATACTGCTCCCTCAGTGCTCTGACAGTTTTCTCTGCAGCCTCTTCTTTACGGACCTGCTCACACACTGCTACAGACTACATCTCCGCTGAGGTTGGCTCCTTACTCTCCAGACAGGCTATCATCTCTTTTTGCCAGGCATTCACACTAGCTCCCATCCTTTCCTAGTGGGCATCCATCTTGGCTATTATTTCTTATTGAATAGCCTCTGCCCTGGCTTGGTGGATATCTGTCCAGGAGACGAGAGTAGTTGAAGGACCTCAAACTTTTCATTATTGGCTTCTATCCCAGTATCCATCTTTTCTTGGTTTTTCTGTATCTTTCCTTCCAGTCTTGCTGTCATTTCCTTTAGATTGGTGTCCACCTTTTCTTGGCTGGAGTCTATTTTGGCCAGCAGGCATTCCATCATTTCGTATGACAATATAGCTTCTTAATGAGGTCCCCAATCTATCCTACTTCTGACTCCAGTTGACACATGATGAGATTTGGAATAGAGACCGGATTTAATGACCATTTTAACATATGTGACTACACTTAATTATAGCACCATTGCTGATCTCCACAGTTTACAAATCTCTACAGCACACACTAAGTCTTTTCAGTCTGCTGTGTCTTCACCAGTCACTCCTTGTTAACAGCTTCTAACAGTGGAGATCCTTCAGCTTCTGTGCTCACTTTGTTGCCCACTGGTTCCCAACTGCCCAACTAAGTCTCCTCTTTACAGACTACCTTACAACCGACTATCTTCTAAACTTGTCTCAGTTATAACATGTTGGCAGAGACCACTGTTTCCAATAGTTCCTCTACAGTTGTGCATGAACTCGTTTCCATGGGAACCTTTTTGTTTCATGGTTGCTACCTAGTAACAGGTCTACATACTACAATATTCATTTATACTCCATAAGTATACTTTAATACTTCACACGTGAACTTCAAAGTGGCATGCAGGATATTTCAGGAAATATATTATGAAAAGACACATGATATCATTAATTTCACGTGCATCTGTTTCCCATAATAATATTTAAACTAAATTACATGTTTTCATTGACATATTTGCAAACTCTGATGTTATTTAATATTCTGGATTTCTTTCAACAAAAACAGTCACAAAGCTACATCTGATGTGTGATTTATTATTTGAGTATAATTTTTCAATAAGCATAATGTATGTTGTATCGTGTTATGGACTCCCATGTTTATATACCACAATGCAAGTAGTCTATTGCCTCTGTCAACTCCACACGTGAGCTCCTTCAGTACGAATCCCTCTGGCAACAGCACACAGAACACACATCATTACTGCCAGAACAAAGGAAAATCCAGGAACTTGCATTTCATATTCAACACTACATATAGTTCAGACATATAAGAATGACTTTGAGTAACCCACAGAGTGCAAAAAGTTCTGTGAAGAAGTAATAACCTACTTTCCTTTGATATGACATGGTTTCCATAGAAAATGATGTCTCCAACAATTCTTCATTGCCGTTGGAACATGTCTACTGAGCCACTGCCTTGCAGTTATAAGGGGATGCACAGACGGACCCAAAGACACTCCTCTGATTCAACACAGATTGCACAGAAAATGACTCATCCAACAATTTTCTCTTTTGTGTATTCACTGACACCACAACATGTATATCGAACTGCTGCCTAGCAACGATATGGGGGATACACATACAAACAGCCTGATTGGATTTATGAAGTACGCCACTGAGATGGGATCAGGTATCATGATATAGTATATAACAAGTTTCATAAAGACTGGTTCAGCGATTTGAAAGGTGATAGGGGAAAAACAGAGACAGACAGGAGACATTGCATAAGCCTACTTTTATGTTTTAAAAATAAGTAAAGTAGACTATAAACAGTACCCTTCAGCAAAAAGTTCCAATCCTGCTGTCAAGTTAAACTTATGTTTGTATGACTATGCACATACAAAAGTAGGAAGTAGCTGTGACCTCTGCTTACTTTGCAGTCCTCTTTGATGTGCTTCACGAATGCAACCTGTACTTTTTCTAAATACTGCAAGAGTTCGCCAGAGTTTACATCAATGAGATCCTGCAGACTGAACGAGTCAACATTCTCCAGAAAGTGCTGCCGTTCTTGAAGTTGCCATAGGAAGCGACTCTCAATGGCACTCTTGCAAGACACAAAATATTTCTTCATTATGAGTATATTTTCTCGTATTTTCTGAAAGAGCAAAGCACAGAAATTACTAGTGATATTACTTAGATAGCAATCTAAGGAAAGTGGCTCAGCTTTTGGGGTCTGTCACAAAGGCAAATGGTGTTTGAACAGAGACCAACACACATAACTGCAGTATTCAGCTGCTACATCAGCTTACAAGACAGAACGTCATGAATGCAAAGCACATGACAAGGTAAGTTCCTGATATTTATCTGCAACAAACATGAGGTATGAAAGACCAACAGGTATGAGAAACTGGGACTTTGTTCTCCTAAGGCAAAATGTCTCTTTGCCAGTATACCATCATCTAAATGAAGCCTTTTCTTGTGACTAAATATAACACAAAAACAAAAGTTCCATGTCATGTTAATGATATTTTAAGCTGATGACAGTTTTCACACTTTTATATACAGCGTTTCTGGAAGTTCACTCCATCATAAAGTAATAAAGCATCTCCTTCTTTTATTCCCCTACACAAGTCTCTAATGTCTTGTTCTTACTATTCATTGCAAGCTCAATAATTTTGTTTTTCAGATACCCTTAATTTCATTCCTGAAATGCCTGCTGGCATCACATTATTACTGCTCAGATTATCCCCATTTATTCGCTTCGGTCCTGTAACCACTGCAGTTTGGCTTATTTCCTTTTATCTAACAATTTTGAGCATCCTTCATTGAACCATGGTTTATGCTGCTTCGATTTATAATAACATAGACTCTCTTTGGCTGAAATTTTTATATTCTCAATAGTTTCCCACCTCGGCATCTAAGTTTTCCGAAGCTGCGAACCTATGTGAGATTTCAACACGATACTGCTCTTTACCATCTACCTCATTTAATTTCTTGAGAGATAACTTTTCCTAATGGAATATGTGTGTTGTGTGTTTACTCACCGCCAGTCTCTCCCTTACATTTGCCACCACTGGACAGTGGTCAGTATAACAATCTGCTGCCCTGAATGGTAGGATACCAAATATACTCGAGTCTATCAAAAATGGTCAACGTGATTGTGAGTTTCCATCATGACATGTTGAAGTAAATTTATGAATGTTATGATGTAGGAAAACTGTACTTTGTACAGTCAGATTTTTTGATGTGGCAAAGTTTGCTACTGTTATTACTGTGTTCCTCCCAGTAATCTTAGGGACTTCTCATTGTCTGGTGTCTGTTCCTCTAATAAACACTGTCCTTCTGCTCGGTGCACCTATGCTGCCAACGTGGTGGGTAAAGATCTCGACATATTTGCAATCGGAACAGTTTCTGTCAATGACACTGAACCTAAAATTGTTGTTAATAATATTTGTTAATGATACTCTTAATATTACTTGTGTGTATGTGGTCTTATTTTATTGTTCTCTCCTGTTAACGTTAACTTTAACTTTTCTTGGCATTATTATTAACCCTTTTGCGCGGTGATTTAAATTCCGCGGCCGTCTCTCCGGCGGTAATATATTCAGCCGGTCATTTAAATTTTGCTCGAAAATGATTTATTCATCA